CGACGACGGGAGAGTGATCTCTCACCCCCGACGGGGAAGGATGAACAGAAAAGGCGTCCCGCCGACGGGGCCAGGCAGACACCCCACACACGCCGACAGGGTCGGTGGATTTGGAAGCATGCACGCACACGTACATACATGCAGTTACATGCACATCTACATTTACACATGTTTCTACATTTTACATATACATATTCATGTACATATACACATGCATGTGCACATACACATGCATGTATATACATACATATATATATGTGTATATACATGTACACACAAACATATGCATACGCCAATACCTATACCTACACATATATATATATGTATCATATGTGTTCGTCAAATAGTGTTTGCACTCAGAGATTGTTCTTGCTTCTCTGATTATGAACCAGGCCTGTCCATTGGTCTGGCGGCTATGTTGTCGTCGACGCCTCTTCGCCGCCTGTCGTCTTGGTCTGTTTGTCGGTCTGGCGGCTATGTTGTCGCCGTCGCCGCTCGTCGCCGCCGCTAGATTGCACCACGTATATTGTTTCGCGTTGTTTGGCATTGATGTATGTTGCTTTGCATCGCTTGACAGTTTTGTTTGTTGCTTGACCTTTGTTTGCAATTTGTTGCTTTGCTGGAACAACGTAGACTGCACAACATGATTTGTTTCCCCTAGGTTGCACCACGTAGATCGCAACAAATTTAGTCCACAACATAAATTGCACAACTTAGATTGCACCACATATATCGCTCCACAGGTGGCACGGCATATATCGCTCATCGTAGTTCACACTACGTATATGGCAGAACCTAGATTGCACAACATAGATTGCACAACATTGAGAGACCTTATTGCGCTGCGTAGATTGCAGCCGACATTGCCAGAAACACATTGTGTGGGGTCCACGATGGCTAAAATGTAGAGTGGCCTTCGGCCCATCCTGCCACCGTGGAGACCGAGGTTGTTGGGTGTCTGGGTGCTGTGCTGGAGACGGAAGGAGCTGAGCACAAAGAGAGGATGGGCGGCCGGCGGCGGGCGACGGGCGGGATCGCGATTTTCTCCGAGTTCCTAGGGATGGTTTCTTGCAGCTGGGGCTTGATGAGTACCCAATGGTGTGTTGGAGACGGAAGCTGTTGAGTATCTGGGTGTTACGTTGCAGGTGGAGGCTGTTGAGTATCTGGGTGTTGCGTTGGAGACGGAGGTGGTTGAGTATCCGGATGTAGTGTTGGAGGCGGAGGGACTTGAGTATTAGGAGAGGGCGAGTGGCGGGCGGCGGAGGGGATTGAGACTTGAATGTAACTCCTAAGGATGGTGTCTTACAGCGGGGGCCTGTTGAGTACCCGATGGTGTGTTGGAGATTGACGCTGTTGAGCATCTGGGTGATGTATTTGAGACGAAGATTGTTGAGTATTTGGGTGTTGTGTTGGGGATTTAGGCGGTTCAGTATGTGGGCGTTGTGTCGGAGACGGGGGGAGTTCAGCACAAGGAGAGGGCGGGCGGGCGGCGGACGGCGGTTGGGCGGGCAGGATTGTTATTTTGATCGAACTCTTAAGAATGATATATTGCAGCGGGGAGCGTCCTGTTGAGTACCGGATGGTGTTTTGGAGACTGAGACTGTTGAGTATTGGATGTTGTGTCGGAGACGGAGGTTATTGAGTTTCTAGGTGCTGTGTTGGAGACGGAGGGAGTTTAGTACACGGAGCGGGCGGGCGGCGGGCGGCGGACGGGCTCAGGATTTTGATGGAGTTCCCAAGGATGGTGTCTTACAGCGGGGGCCTGTTGAGTACGGGATGGTGTGTTAAAGACGGAGGTTGTCTGGTATTTGGGTGTTGTGTTGGAGACGGAGGTTGTTGAGTACCGGATGTTGTGTTGGAGATGGACATTGTTTCGTATCTAGGTTTTGTGTGGGAGACGGATGGTGTTGAGTATTTCGGTTTTGTGTTGGAGACGGACGTTGTTGAGCGTTTTGGTGTTGTGTTGGGGACGGAGAGACTTGAGTACAAGGAGAGGGCTGTGGGTGGGCGACGGGCGGCGGGCGGCGGCCAGGATTGGGATTTGAATGCAATTCCTAAAGATGGTGTCTTGCAGCACGAGATGGGGGTTGTATTGAAGACGTAGGCGGTTGAGCAGGTGGGTGCTGTGTTGGAGACAGAGGGGAGTTGAGCACAAGGAGAGGGCGGGAGGGCGGCGGGCTGGATCGGATTTTATGGATGGTGTCTTGCAGCGGTTTGAGTCTCGGGTGGTGTGTTGGAGAAGGGGGCAGTTGAGTATCTAATGGCCTTCGGCCCATCTCGCCACCGAGCCTGGATTGTGGGTCAGAGTCCTCAGGAATTTTTCTTGGGGTCTCTTCGGGGCTCTATCGGGTGCCTCTTGGGGCCAGTTTCGGAGCCTCTTGGGGGCCTATTCTGGGCCTCTTGGGAGCCTCTTGGGGGCCTCTTGGGGCTTCCTGAGGGCCTCTCAGGGGCCTCTGTGGTTTTCTCTTGGGCCTCGTGGGACTCCAAATGTATGTTCGGGGCCCCGTTTGGGCCCCCTCTTGGAGCCGTCTTGGGAGCCTCTTGAGGCCGCCTTGGAGGCCTCTTGGGCGGGCTGGATTTGGGCCTTATTGGATGCCTCTTGGGCCGTCTTGGGGCAACCTTGGGCGCCCCTTGTGGCGTCTTGGAGCGTCGGGAAGCCGAAAAGACGAGAACGCCATCATCAGATATAGTTCTATGCATGTGTGTACGTATATATATATATATATATATATATATATATATATATATATATGCACACATACCCGTGCACGAGGCCCGGGCGCCTGGGGCCCGGGCCACGGGGGGGGCATGGGAGGACCAGAGCTGCTGGGCCCTTCCGAGACAGCCCCAGACAACCCCGAACCGCCACCCCAGAGTGCCAGGAGGTCTCCAAACGTCCAAGAGAGCCCAGAATCCCCGAATCGTCGTTCCACGACGCCGAAGATGGCTCCCAGACGGCCTTTGGGAGCCCCCACGACGGCCCAAGAGTTCCCCAAGAGGACTCCCAAGAGCGCCTCCAGAAGCAAAAAGTACCCCATCCCCTCTGGAAAACGTGAATTTTTACGACGTTCACATCTTCGGCGTCGACCGCCTCGAAGACTGCCCCAGGAGCCCACAACATCGCCCCAAGACGGCCAAAGAGAGTTCCCAGAGGCCTCCAAGACACCTCCAGAAGAGCCCTCGACTATCCAGGAGGCCCCCAAGACGGTCCCCGAGGGCACCAGGGGGCTTCTGGGGCTCCCCCGAGACAGCCCCAGACAGCCCCGAAACGCCACCCCAGAGTGCCAGGAGGTCTCCGAACGTCCAAGACGGCCCAGACTCCCCGAATTGTCGCTCCAAGACGCCGAAGATGGCTTCCAGACGGCCTCCGGGAGCCCCCACGACGGCCCAAGAGTCACCCAAGAGGACTCCCAAGAGCGCATCCAGAATCCAGAAGCAACAATTGCCCCATTACATTTGAAACAAGTAATTCTTTACGATGCTCACCGCTTCGGCGTCGACAGAGTCGAAGACGGCCCCAGGAGCCGATAAGACCGCCCCAAGACGGCTGAAGAGAGTTCCCAGAGGCCTCCAAGACAGCTTAAGAGGGGCCCTCGACTGTCCAGGGGGCCCCCAAGACGGTCCCAGAGGGCCCCAGGGGGCCATCTGGGGCCCCCCCGAGACAGCCCCAGACAGCCCCGAAACGCCACCCCAGAGTGCCAGGAGCTCTCCAAACGTCCACGGGGGCCCAGAATCCCCAAATTGCTCCAACACGCCGACGATGGCTCCAACACGCCGACGATGGCTCCAAGACGGCCTCCAGGAGCCCCCACGACGGCCCAAGAGTCCCCTAAGAGAACTCCCAAGAGCGCATCCAGAAGCCCCAACGTTGTTCACCGCTTCGGCGTCGACCGCGTCGAAGACGGCCCCAGGAGCCGACCAGATCGCCCCAAGACGGCCACAGAGAGTTCCAAGAGGCCTCCAACACGGCTCAAGAGGGGACCTCGATTGTCCAGGGCGCCCCCAAGACGCTCCCAGAGGGCCCCGGGACAGCTTCCCCCCACGCAGACCCGAGGGGTACCCCATCCGACATTTCGAGCCATCCTCCCCAAAAAGCACCCCGGAGACCCCAAGAAACCTTCAAAAGCCCACAGAAAAAAAAATCCAAGCGGGCCCCACGGGGCCGCCAGGAAGCCCCAAGAGGCTTCCAAGAGCCTTCTCCGCCCTGAGGTACTCTGGCCGATCCCGAAGATTCCGGACAACTCTCGTCATCCTGACGCCCCCAATTGGCCCCGGGACTGTCAAACATTTAAGACGAATTTCCGGGCGTGTGGAAGTTTTCCCGACCTCGGGGCCCCTCCAGGGATCGTCGACGTCGTCGTCGTGGTGGTGGCGGTCGTCATCGTCGTGATCGTCGTCGTCATCGTCGTCGTCTTCGTCGTCACTGGTCGCCGCCCCTGTCGTCGTCGTCGCCGTCGTCGTCGTCGATGATCACACGAGCGAAAACGAGAGCAGCAAGACGTGGCACAGCCGTGACTAGAACCTAAGCGCGCGCGAAGCGCCTGCGTGATTCTGGAATATATTTGTATAGTTATCTGTTTATGTATAAAACTATGTTAAGAAGAAAAGAGCGAGCCCGATCGATAGTGATATCGGTATGTTGATAATGCTGCCGACAGGTAGTGAGACCGATAGATGCGGTTCGATGGATGTAGACGGTTGTTCTGATGTATGTCCCGCTGTTGGTTCCACCCACAACGTCTTTACTGTAGGTTTGCGTCGTGTCGACCAGCGGCGACCCCAGCGCGGGCGTTCAAGGTTGAACGCCGCTGGCGACCCAGAATCGATCGATGTTGAACGATCGGACGTTGCGGCAGCGGCCGATCGTTCAAGGTTGAACGATCCCTGCGGTGTCAAAAACCAACGCTGGGGTCGGCACGACACGAACCTGCCGTATCGGTGTCTGGGCTGTCTTTCAGGGATTGGTATATGATGTGTTCGGTTGTGGCCCACGGCCGCAGGCTCCTTCCCGATGAGCTCCACAAGCTTTACAGGCTCACGAACACTCAGTACGAGATGCTCTTCACACGGACCCCATGCGTCCCCTCCATGCTTTTGTTTTCCCTCCCTTCCCTATCCTTCTCCACCTCCTCCTCCTCCTCCTCCTCCTCCTCTCGACACTTGGTAACTATCGATACTACCCTCCTCTCTACCTGGATTCTGCCTGAGCGGATCCCCGTTTTCCGCATAGTGTTTCGTTTACACATGATAGCATGCGTGTTCTGTTTGCAAATGTATTTCTCACTCTGGAAGTCCTCGGTCTTTCAAAATGGTGATCCCGCTGCAGTGTAGATCAATTTCAGGATCGCCGTTGTGCTCCCGTCGTTCAGAATGGCGCTCTCGCCCGAGCACACGTGCGATTCGTTCCTTGTCATTGCCGCCCCCGTCCTTTCCCCTCCTCCACTTTCCCCTGATCCGTCTGCTCCTTCGTTTGCTCCTGCTGCTGCTGCTGCTGCTGCTGCTGCTGTGCTCCTCCTCCTCTTCCCTAGCCTTCCTACTCGTCCTCCTTGTCATCCTCCTGCTGATCCGCCACCTCTCCTAGTAAACGCAACTACCCGTTTTGACTGCGCATCGCACGATGGGGTAATTTGGGGGATGCAGATCCACAAGCACTCCTGTCGGCGGATAGACATATGCGCAGTGAGAAGAGATGGATGGGAGAGATAGCATGTCCGATATCGCGCGCGCACCTAGCTTGCCTCGTCCTCTCTCTTCCTCCTCCATGCTCCCTCCCCCTTTTCTCGGGTCGGGGGGAAAGAGGGATTTTTTTTTGGGGGGGGTGTACGTACGTACATGCTGCACGTAGCTGGCTTCGGCCCCCTCGCTGGGCGCTTTCCTTGGTACATGGGCGCCACTGGAGCCCAGAGGCGCTGGAATAAACAGCTGCGTCTGCTTATTCGCAAGCTCCCCTTTGCTGACCCTCCCTTCGTCCGTTCCAATTATCTTCCCCTTCTCCCCCCTCTCCTCGCCTCCCGCTCCCTTCCCCCCTCTCCTCTCCTCCCTCTCCCGTCCCTGCGCCTCTCCGCCTTGCGCACCCCCCTGTCACGTGTAGCATTTGATCCCCTTTCCCCCTTCCCTTCCTCCTCCTCCCACGTAGCTTTTTTGACACTGATCCCACTCACCCCCTCCCCCTTCCCTGCTTCCTCTCACTTTCCCTTGCTCCCTCCTCCCTGCATTCGACCTCCCGCCATCCTCGTTCCCCCTCCCTCTTCCGAGGTGTCCCCTGCAACCTCCTGGGCCTCTCTCCCAGAGGAGGAGGAGGAGGAGGAGGAGGAGGAGGAGGCAGATCTAGGAGGAGGGGGTGAGCATGCAAGAGGACGGAGGAGGAGAACATGAGGAGGCGGAGGAGGGCGGAGAGGAGAAAGCGGCTGGAGGAGAGGGGGTGCCAGAGGAGTGGAGTCCTCGGCCGCAACGCGCCGCCGGGGGCAGGATCGCCCGCGACCAGATGCTGGAGGCGGCCTCGCAGTACGAGGGCCCGCCATCCCCGGCCGCCGCGGCCGCCGCCGCCCGGCGGCCTCGCCGACGATGGCGACTGCGATACCTCGACGGCCGGGAAACATTCCAGGAGACGCAAACATTGGATGGACCCTGTGACATCTTCTGGTTGCCGTTTGCACTCGTGACGGGGAGGTTTTGTCCTTTGCCAGTTTTCGGCCTCGGGGGGCCTTCGCCAGGCCTTGGACCTTCAAACAGAGGCAGCAGCGTGGAATGGGGATTTCCCGCTGCAATGTCCCGGCGGAGAGCCGCGTCCTCGTCCTCCTCGCCTTCCTCCTCCTCCTCCTCCTCCTCCTCGTCGTCCTCCTTTCTCCTCTCCCTCGTCCTCCTCGTCGGCCTCCCCCTCCTCCTTCGCAACCTCCTGACCCTCATTATTCATATCGAGCCATCGGGTCCCTTCCTCCATCGGCGCCTGCTCCAACAACCCCCTGGAACACGACCACCGCCACATCCCTCTCCTCATCGTCGTCGTCCTCCTCCTCCTCTTCCTGGCCATCCTGCCCATCCTCGTTTTTCCGCGTTCTCTCGTCATGCTCTTCCTCTCCCTCCTCCCCCTCCTCCTCCTCTTCCTCGTGATCCTCCCTCCTTCCTCCCTCCTCCCTCCCTGCCTCCTCCCTCCCTCCTCCATCCCTCCTCCCTGCTCCCTCCCTCCTCCCCTCCCTGCTCCCGCCCTCCCTCCCTCCCTCCATCCCTCCTCCCTCCTCCTTCCCTCCTCCATCCAAAACCTCCTCCCACCTCAGATTCTCTGCAGGAGGACCGCCGGTGAGCGGACTCCGAACAGAGAATGTGCACACGAGGGCAAGGTGACCCATGAGGTGTGTGTACCCGAGGTGAAATGGAGACCATCTCTTTCTTGCTTGGGGCATGACGGGCGTCATGGCCCCTGCCCCCCCCTCCCTTATGACGTAACTTTCCCCCCCCCAGTGCGCTCCGGGCACTGCCGCCGTGCGTATTGGGATCCGCGTAGGAATCCGCATAAGAGTCTGATCCGCAGTCGTCGTCGTCAACGTCGTCGTCATCGTCGTCGCTCGTGGCTCGTCGCTCGTCGCTCGTCGCTCATCGTCGTCGTGCGCGCGGACGCGGCTGGAGCCTATTTTTTTATTCCGGGCCGATGACGGCAATCATCTGGGGGGGGTGGAGGGGGTCGATGGCGTCACGCTTCGCGCTGGCGGCGCCTGGGAATGCACAGGAATGACGGAGGACGGGTGGCACCAGCGTGTAGGTGGCGATCTGCACCACATCGCTTGTGTACACCTCAGTGCCTGCGTGCACCACAGCGCCTGTGTAGTACACCGCGCCGCTTATGTACACCACGGCAGCCGCTTGCAACACAGCGCCAGTTTGGGCCACACCGCGCGCGGGCACAACAGCTCTTGTGTACACCACAGCGCCTGCGTACACCACATCAGCCGTGTGTAATACAGCAGTGTACATCACAATGCCTGCGTGCATTGCAGTGCCTGTGTGCACCACGGCGCTTGTGTGCACCACAGCAACCGTGTGCAACAGAGCACCATTCTTGCATGTAGAATGTTTGAAGGAACCATTATGACAAAATGGAGCGCTTGTGGATTTCACCGAAAACACCATCACATAATCCTTATGGGCAAAGGGGCGCCAGGGGAATCTACGAGTCCTTCCGAGTTCGCCCGCATCGCCGTAACTCTTCCCATCTGCGTCCAGGAGGCTCCAGCTAAATTGGCCGTTGCGGTGCACGCTGAGTTGCGCGCATGCGCTGTAGCGCCAACCCGCACGACGGGGGGTAAGGAGGAGGGGGAGGAGCAGGAGGAGGAAGAGAAAAAGGAGGAGGAGGTGGAAGTGGAGAAGAGAAGAGGGAAAAACGTCGCATTCGATTATCATCACTTTCCTGGCGTGGCGCTTCCGCAGCAGATCCCCAAGGGCAGGCTCCTTCTACCGGTCCCATGCGCGCAGGCACTGTGGTGTACAATGGCGCTGCGTTGCACGCGGATGCTGTGGTGTAGACAGGCGCTGTGGCGTGCACAGGCGCCGCGGTGCACGCAAGCACTGTGGTGTACACGCGCGCTGTGTTGCACATGGTTGCCTCCGGTGTGCGCATGTACACTGGCGTTGTAGTGTACGCAAGCACTGCAGTGTACACAGGCGCTGCGTTGCACACGGTTGATGCGATGTACGCAGGCGCTGTGGTGTACACGCGCGCTGTGGTGCACGCGAGCGTTGTGGTGTACACAGGCGCAGGGGGGCAGATCGCCACCTACATGCTGCTTGCATCGTCGTCGTCGTCGTCGCTTGTCGCTTTTCGCTCATCGCGCCGTGCGCGCGGGCGCTGCTGTGGTGCCGGAGCCACACGGCGGGGGGGGCGCGTTACGTCATACCCCCCCCGCCCTTTCCCCCCCCCACGACGCCCGTCATCGCCGAACATGAAGAAACGCTCTCATGTGTCGCCCACTTGCGGTTACGGTTGCGCGCGCGGGCGTGTTAAAATTTGTCGCCCGGCTGCGGTTGCGGATGCACGGGCGGGTTGAATTGTGCCGCCCAGTTGCGGTTGCGGTTGTGCGGCTAGGTTGGAATGTTTCGCCTGGTTGCGGTTGCGGTTGCGAGGGTTGAAATGCTTCGCCCAGTTGCGGTTGCGGTTGCGGTGCGCGGGCGGCTGGAACTATGCCGCCTGGTTGCGGTTGCGGTTGCGCGGTTGGGTTGAAATGTGTCGTTTGGTTGCGGTTGCGATTGCGGTTGCGCGCGCGAGCGGGTTCAAATGTAACCTCGCCGCGGGGGCAGAGCAGATTTGCTTCTGATTTTTTGGGGTTTTTCGGTTTTCACATTGCATTTTGGGCGCGCGCCTGGTGCCCAGAAGGATCGCTGGGGGCGACCAGAACAACGCCCGGAAGAGCGCCTGGGAGCGCGCTGGCGCGAGCACCCGGGCGAGCCCAGAAGAGTGCCGAGAACAGCGCCCAGGAAAGCGCCATCAAGAGTGCCAAGAATATGGCCCGGACGCGAATTTGGAAGAGCGCCCGGAAGTGCGCCCAGAAACGACCGATTTTGCGACCGATTTCGCGCCCGATTTCGCGTTCGATTTTTTGTGTGTCGATTCAATATTAAAATAAATCAGACGCAAATCGTATTTAAAATCGGACAGAATTTCGGACGCAAATCGGACGCAAAATCGGACGCAAATCGGACGCGAAATCGGATGCAAAATCGGGAACAAAATCGGGCGCTGATGGTGTCGACCATTTCTGGGCGGATGAGGCAGCGTATCACGGTGCATCATGGCGAGGTCTGGTAGGGTGTGCATTGTGGACCCACGCGCGCAATTCAGCGTTTGAGTTTTAGCGATGTGGCGAACGACAAACTGCGATATCGCGCTGTGTCCAGGTCGGGCCAAATCGACAGAAAAATCAGATCGCCGCTTCTGCGGCTGTTTTTCAGGTGATCAAATGTGTCGCGCAGTTGCGGTTGCGGTTGCGCGGGCGGGCGGGTTGAAATGTGTCGTTTGGTTGCGGCTGCGGTTGCGGTTGCGGTTGCGGTTGCGCGGGCGGGTTGAAATGAGTGGCCCAGTTGCGGTTGCGGTTGCGCGCCCGGGCGGGTTGAAATGCATCGCCTTGTTGCGGTTGCGCATTCCCGGGTGGTTTGAATTGTGTTCGCAGAAGTGCTCTCTCGACGTTCAGTCAGTCAGTCAGTCAGCCAGTCAGTCAGTCAGTTAGTCAGTCACGCCGGCGGGCGCGGGATTTCACCCCCGCTGGGAAACATATTTTCACAATGCACGATGAAAAGCCAGCCTGTGGAAAGGGGTGCACGCCTCTGGGGGGTCGCGTTGTGCAATAATTTCGACGTCGTGGGCCCGGGGGGCGCGCGGAACACTGGGGGGGGGGGGGGCGGGGGGGGGGCGGGCGGTCAACGACGTGGTCAGGCTGGCCAAGCTTGGCGGAGGGGCCCGCCTCATCGCCCCGGGGAGCAGCATCTGCAGATTATAGAGTCAAGTTAGGAAGTCATTGACGTTCGAGGGGCAGGATCGGCACAGCCGCTCGGAGATCCGGGGCACTCGCAGACGTCGCAGTTCGTCGGGCAGTGCGTTTGCCCGCGCCCTCTCTGCCGAGATAGCTGCGTTGGTCGGAGATGTTTTTTTTCCCAGCGGAGCCAGGTGAAGTTCCGCGCCCGCCGGTGACTGACTGATTGACTGACTGATTGACTGACTGTTTGATGACTGATTAACTGACTGAACGCCCGGAGGCACCTTGAACAACACACGTCAAACAGCCCGCGGGAGCGCACCGCAACTGGGCGACACATTCCAAACCGCCCGCGGGCGCGCAAACGCAACGAGGCGACGCCTTTCAACCCGCCCGCGGGCGCGCAACCGCAACCGCACCTGGGCGACGCATTCCAAACCGCCCGAGGGCGCGCAAGCGCAACAGGGCGACGCATTTCAAACCGCCCGCGGGCGCGCAACCGCAACCGCACCTGGGCGACGCATTTCGACCCGCCCGCGGGCGCGCAACCGCAACCGCATCTGGGCGACACATTTCAACCCGCCCGCGGGCGCGCAACCGCAACCGCGCCTGAGCGACGCATTTCAAACCGCCCGCGGGCGCGCAAGCGCAATTTGGCGACGCATTTCAATCCGCCCGCGGGCGCGCAACCGCAACCGCAACTGGGCGACGCATTTCAACCCGCCCGCGGGCGCGCAGCCGCAACCGCATCTGGGCGACGCATTTCAAACCGCCCGCGGGCGCGCAACCGCAACCGCACCTGGGCGACGCATTTCGACCCGCCCGCGGGCGCGCAACCGCATCTGGGCGACGCATTTCAACCCGCCCGCGGGCGCGCAACCGCAACCGCAAGTACGCGACACATTTCGACCCGCCCGCGGGCGCGCGACCGCGACCGCATTTGGGCGACTCATTTCAAACCGCCCGCGGGCGCGCAAACGCAACCGCAATTGGGCGACGCATTGCAAACCGCCCGCGGGCGCGCAACCGCAACCGCACCTGGGCGACGCATT